GGTGAGCGAGTGAGGCAATGGCCACTCTCCGTCCCCCTCCGCCTGACGGCCCTGGGTGAGGGCCTGGACGGCTGTCTTGGCTCTCCTCACCCTTCCCTGTCCGGCAGCGCCTCAGCCGGTACAGGGACACCACGTCCTGGTCACTTTCACAGTGCTGATGGCGACCGAGATGCAGAGGGGCCACCTAACCGCCCCGGCCTGTGACCCCCTCCGCCGGGGGGGACTCGCTGCCCTTTCCTTGCACCGCCATTTTGTGGCGCTCACCCGCAGCCCCTGTGGTATCCCAAAGGAGGAGTTTTCCCTCCTACCATTTGGACAAAAATTTGTTTGTTTTTACATTCTAAGAATTTAGGGAATAATCTGCAGCAATATCATTTTGTTTGATATGTGCCCGACTGAGTAAAATCCAGAAGATGTTTGATATTCTGAGGGCTTGACATACATGTCAGTAAACATGCTGGTAGCTAGTAATGAAGGCACAGTACATAACGCATGGTGGTAACGCGCCTTAAAACGTGTCAGGAACAGTGAAGTGTCCCACAATTACGTTAACTCGGATATAATAAATGGAATTGCTGCCAGTCAGGAAAGGGCTCTGATGATGTTAGAAACAGTGAAAAAGGCAGCGGGTTTGAAAAAGAACGGCGTGTCGTCCCCTTGAACGCAGGCTCAAGTCTTGCAGCAGGGTTCATGTCTCCTCAGGATTCCTAAAAACTGTTGCAAAGACGGGCAGAAGAACAAACAGCACGATGAGAGTCACTTTTTTGTTTTGACAGAAGTTAGTACAGAAATGTGAACTCTTATAAAATTTAAGAAGAATCATCCAGTTTAACAGTGATGAACAGCACACACGAAGTACGGCTTGCTCTCAAAAGAGCCCTGCTGGAATGAAAATTATTTATATAAAGCCAACAGAAATCAATACTTTGCAAGCTGACAATGGGTAGAATTGCATGTTTGATTCTAAGGAAGAAATTTACCTAATAAATTATGGGTATTTTCCACTGCTGTTTTTCCATTGCTGTGCATTACATATTTCTCTGTAACAAAAATAATAGTCCCATATAAGAACATGTTCTGAATTTGTCATCCAGGGTTGGCTACTTTTCTCCAGTAGCACCAAGAAGAGGTCTTTACTACAGTCATATTCTGCAACTCATCAACTGTCCAAAATTTAGATGTCTATTGTTTTAGGTGGGTGGTAACTACTTTTCTAAAAATCTGCAAGCATCCTGTGGATGACCAGTGCAACTGAATCTCTCAGCCCTTTCTACTAGTGACAAGTGTATCCTTTTAATTCGCAACACAGAATAGCATTTATAAGTTGCACTTATGCTACTTCATTTTAACAATATCCAGTATAGCAGATATTTTACACATGCATGGTTTCAGAAGCATTGCCATTTTCTGCAACTTCACCCTTTACATAAATTTTATTGCAAAGTTACAGAAAAAAATTAAACACTTCAGTTCTGTTTCTTTCTGCTAAAAAAGCATTCAAAAGATAAAATGAATTGTAGCTCTTTCAGTGGCTAGATGATAGAATGGTATGTATAATATGCAGCTGTACAGTCTGCTCTGTTGGTCAACTGTGCTGTAATTTATAAACCAATGAACAGAAATTCTTTGCTATTTAAAGTAGTTTTGTGTTTTTATTTTGCTTTCATCTGTGTACCTTCTGTGTATGCCCCAATATCATGCAGCTTTAATGGGAACTGTCAGGGAAACAACTAACAAACATCGTTAAACGGTTTCTAGAGATGCATTTTTATATATGGTCCAAGCTAATTTTTGCATCCAAAGTAATTAGAATCTTCTTTTACATTGTGTAAAAGCAAAAATATTCTGCATTCACCTGCGGCTCAAGATAGTATTTCTTCGTATTTTTCTTAGTGTTTTCAGAAAATGTTTTGTTTGCTATCTTAAGTGTCCAGGCACTGGGATTCCAAGGTTTTAAATACATTTGGTAAAACTATTATCTCTTTCTCAGAGTTTTTATTGCAGCCTATACTAATCCAGTCACTTGGATTAGGTGTTCTGATCCTCACTTAACTGTTAGGCAAATTAATTTATGCCAAACATCCAGCATTTTAAATGCTCCCCCCACCCCCTCCTGTTTCCACAGCCTCAGTGTTCCAGTATGTTGCCTTAATGCCACTTTAGTTAAATTCTGCAGTTGTTTTCTATTCCACTTTATCCCAGATTAGGATCTCATCCTCATCACCAATTTGTTACGGCTTTACTTCTTACACAGTGCTAAGGGTATGGGGAAGCCATTGTGGGACAGTTAAGTACCAGATAACTTTGCTTAATATTGAGTATATCTGAGCTAGCAAGCTGTATTCAGCCCATGCTAATAAAATGTTGACTGCATCCTTTTTAGAAGACTACATGAATCCCAAGCTTTTAAAAACCCTGTAAATGAGTTTCTGCACGTAGCAATGCTATGCAAACAGAAGAATGAATGTGTAATAATTGGCTTTCCATTGTATGTGAGTTCTGCCTTTAATCACTTATGCATATACCTTCTGATTTAATTGCAATTGCTATGAGAGGAGTCTACAAAATGGATGAGTAGCTTTTCCATTACCAGCATTGAAGTCCGTAGGCTTAGGAAACCAGATGGAACGGTGGCTACACATTTTGTACACAAGTATCTTGTATTCTTCATGCTTTCTAGGAACATTAAGCCTCTCAAAGATTGAACTGCTGCAGGAAAAAAGCTATACCTAAATTATATACCTCATTTTTTTCCTAACTGTGCTTTAGACTTTCAATGAGTGCATTGCCACTGTCAGTGAGAAATGTGGTTCCATTAAAGTGGTTTAGGTAGTAATTCAAATGCAGTTAAAACTTTTTCTCCTCCCTTTTATCTTAAAATGTATGGTATTGTTCTTGTAATTTTGTCTTTTTTATTGTATCAGTAAAGCTTCTGACTGTATAAATCCTCAAACTGCGTTTTTCTTTTGTAGTTTACACAATGAGCGACAGACTTTTGAGCAACTTAGACAAACTTCTGCTCGAGTTTGGTAGGTCATTATGTCATATATTTTTAAGTTAGTAATTACTAATGCAGTACAAATCACAATGTTTTCTGCTTTATATTAAGTTCAAATGCTTTTATAATATTAAGGTCTTGGTATTTGCCTACATAATATTCCCTTAGCTGTGAGGTCATGGAAGGAGGTACTAACTGCTATTTAATTGCAAAATTTCTATTTAGATATTTTGTTAAATCTTTGCTAACCAGTGTTTGTGCAATTAATTCTGTACAATAGCTCAACTCATATATATATGTATATATATACCCACACAAAAAAGCATTTATTTTCTTCTTAGTTTTCCAGCTAGAACAAACTTCTTATGCTAAGGAACACGTGAATCGACAGATAAATTGTGAGTAGTGATAAATTATCGTTTTATTAGACACTGAACACACTGCTTTTGTTTCATTAGTCCTGGTATACATATACTGTGTTTCAGGGGCGGAAGCAAGCCTAATAATGAAAGCTGTCCCGTGTCCTGCTCTCACCCTACCTCATCTTTTGCCATCAATGCTTGCTCATTCTCCCTAGCAGACTTTGCTTTTGCTTGCGACTTTTAGCTAATGCTGTTCAGCTGTCTCATGGACAGCCAGTTTCGTGCTGCGCCATTTCCTGCTCTTACTCTGTAGCTCCTCACAGTCACTGGCAGTTCTTTGATTCAGCTGTGCTTGCTCAATACATCTGCCACTTGCCTCCCTTTCTTTTTTCATCGTTTTTGTTCTTTCCAGATTTGGACCTCTGCCCCACTGCTTCTTCTCTCTGTTTTCTTAAAATAGTGAAACTTCTCTCAAGTTGCTACTACCTACTCAAGCCTGGTTCTTCTTTTTTGCCATCACGAGAAAGTCTTGCTCCACATCATTTTTTTTTCCCCCAGAATTTACAAACAGGTTAATATTCTTGACTTATGTCTGGACTGATTATTTTTTTTTTTCACCATGCAACTATGTGGAATCAAAAGAATTATTGGGGTAGAGAAGTTATTCTTTATGCAGTCTGAGGATATCTGTGTTCATCACTGGTACTTCAAAGGTAGATACTGAAGCTCGTAACCTTTAGGAAAAAGAACAAGAGAGAATTCTGGTCTAATTGGTGTTCCTCTTGATGGCAACATCTCTAATAATCTATACTGGTATGTGCAAGCAAGTATTTACTGTTTAAGAAGATTATCAATATTAAATTGAAGCATCTTAAACCTTAAAACATCTGTAACACTGAATCTGGTGCACCTAGAGTTGTTTTTTAGCTCTCCAGTCACATAATTGAACTTTAGAGTTGACTTTTTTCTTGACGTTTATATACTCTTATGGTAGATGAGCATACGTTTAGGAAAAAACCAAAGGCTGTGTAATAACACGGCACAGCGATCTGCGTGTCCAGTTCAGAGATATCTAAGTATGTGTGAACTCACAGCAACACTCAGACTTCTAAAAGTTTGGGTTAAATCTTTCAAAGATCTACCCAGAAACAGTTCCACTGATTTAATTTAGTCTCTGTGTGAGTATTACTTGGCAGAGGAACAGCTGTAGCATTCAGCCTCAGAATTCTAGTGTGAGATTTGGCAGGCTTTTTGGCTAGAGTCCCTTTATAACCAGTGGAGGGAAATGGATGCTTTTAGGGTGTGATTTGTCTTATCCTGAAGAGAGAGTTTAAAGTAGGTTAGATAAAGTAAGCTTTAAAAAATGTCCACTTGACTCTGCTGAGTGTACTAGCAGCCGTGGGTGGCTAGTTGTGAAGTTGGTGCCTGCATTGTAAAGTTGGGTGAGATGGATCTCATCCACAAGGTCCTTGCAAAAGCAAAGGGCAAGTAGAACAACTCATACTGGTCACAGAAGTGCTCATCTGTAGGAAATGCTAAATGAAATGTTAAGTGCATAGCTTTGTTTATGTACTAGATACTTTGTTAATACAGTTATATCTTGCTAAATCTCAAAATGTCATTTGCAGGATTCTTCCGAATACACCTGTTTTTTTAACAGAAATGAAGCTTATGTCAGTTGTCCAATAGTTGCGCTTCATGCTATGTAACAGCAAGTTACTGACTTCAGATATGAAAATATTAAGATAGTGAAGATCTTCAGGATAACTCAAGATAGAAATCTTCCACTTTTCATTGAGTGATGTTTCTCTGAGAAGTGTTGGGTTTTTTTCGGGATAAATGCAGCTGGCATTGTAAATATATGGCAAGTAGTGCAAAATCAGACCCAAACATCAGGATGACCTGAAGTTCTAGAGCAGACAACTCAAGACACATCTAACTAAGATGCCCTTCCTTGTTAAGTCTATGAAAAGGGCAGAATGTCTGTGATTGACCTCAGTTTAGGGCCACCAACTTTGGTGTACAGTATTTCAGGGCAGCAATGATGGCAAAGGATGTTTTGGTTCTAATAAATCTGAAACCTTGTATGAAAAAATAAGGAATAAACAGTGCAGAGAAAAAAAAAAGTGCACCCAGTTGTGCTCATTGAATTGCAATGTAAACATGTATGACAGCTCTCACAGCTTTTACTTGTGAAAGAGAACACTGATCGTGTTCCACAATATGGAGTCTCTACTGACCACTGATTCAGAAAATATTATTAGCTGTCTGCTTTTAGGAAAGGCAGAATTAAGAATCTGTGTTAAGAATCTCCAAATACCATAGTGCTCAAGGATTCCTTGTTATAATGCATTTTTTCGTTAATTAACCTCTCCTACATTAATTTCTTATACCTTACACATTCCCACCTTAAATAAATTATCTTTTTATTTCAGTTTCTCTGTTTATAATAATATAATAATTTGCTTATGTTCCTTTAGTGATGTTTTTATTTTCCCCTTTTTGTGGTCAGCTTTCCAATTCAAAACATTTGTGCTTTGTCTCAACCAACTGTTTTACGCCAGTCAGTCTTCCCAGTTGCAAGCATTGCTGAGAGCAAAGTGGTTTACATTCTGGTTTCCCTGTATGCTGCTTCTAGTATCTGCAGACACTGTGGATTGCAAAGAAAATGTATATTGGGATATGGAAATAGCACAAATACCTTTCTTCTTCCAAAGTCAGTCTCATAATATTAAATGATAATTAAGGTGATAATTAAGATTAATTAAGGTGATAATTAGATGATAATTAAGGGATAATTAAGGACCAACAGCTGAAACTCCATACATTTTTGACTCACTTTGTTGTTGCTTTTCCTAATTGCAGAGTGTCCACTCATCTGGTGCTATTGAGATCAAGTATTTTGGAAGACATTTTTGGTCATTCTGAATGTAGACTTTTTATTTCATGGATATGTTGAAAATACATATGATTAAAATGCCTTTTTAATTTCAGTGTATACTGCAAAAATCACAGAAAAAAAGAATGAAATCGCTAGGCTGCAGGAAGATATAAACAACAGCAACGATGCAATTGCTGATTTGCACAAGCAAAATGAGAGTAGTAAGGAGAGCTGTAAAGCGTAAGTATAACAGCTTGAACTTTGAGTTATGTGTGGCATTGAGAAAGTCAGTGAGGAGATAGTGTAGAAATATGTATGTGTGTGTTCTGACAGGAATGATGTTCAAGAAAATGTTAGTATTCTCCTTTTTTTTTTTTTCAAGCTGCAAATCATTAGGTACAAAAATTTCAATATTATCCATCCCCTGAAAAAGTATATTATAGAAAACTAGACTACAGTTAAGGTTGGTTTAGTTTTTTATCAGACTCCACAGTTTCCAGAGTTCACACAGGTACTGTCTTTGCAGCATGCTAAAGTATTCAAGTAGTAAGGCAAGAAAACTAATTTTTCTATATTTGGATGCACCTGACTTCTGTCAAATCTGAACATTATTAAGAATACTGTTCAAAAAAGTTGGTTTTGGCAGTTTGTTTGGGTTTTTTTGTTTTTTTGTTTTTTTTTTTTTTTAAAGTAGAATTAATACTGCCAGTGACAATAAGGCTCCATTATGTTGTTTAATTCTGAATTTGTCTTCCTGAAATTGAAGCATCTTTCTATTCTTTATTCACATGTTTCACGTTACTTTTTGTTCTATGCATATTTTCTCCTAAGTTGTGTCGTAACTTTCTCTACATACACATGTGTGTACTTCTACTAGCAGATTTTGATATAATTTTTACTGCAGACTGCAAAATTGTTCTTCTAGGCATGTTTTTGATGAATGGAAAGGGCTGCTGATCACAGTTTTTTAAATAGACATTTTTCTATCAGATTATTAGTGCAAGGTTTAAATGCAGATCACTTGGATCTCAGTAATTGGAAGTTTCTCAAGCAAGAATTTGGCTACAAGGAATTTTTTCTTACTGACATGGAATGTGCTTGAGTAAAAATGTCTGTAACATATATTTGAAATATATTGTTTAGGATGTGAATTGAAATATGAGTGTTTCTAAGAATAAAAAGACAAGTAAAGATAGCATTAAGGTCCTTTCTAGATTTCTTTTGAACTATCTGAAAACAGAAAGAATGGAATCATTAGTGAATGAAGTGGGTATAGTGGGTAGCTGTTTGAATCAATTGCCATAATGTACTGATTTATAGCTTTATCATAAAAAGTTAAGAAAAAAATTGACCTTAACAAGAAAATTCCATTTTTCCTTTACATTGAATTTTTGCCTCCAGAGCAGTATAAAATGAACACTTTTGTAAGTTTCTGAAACCATCCACACTATTTCCTTATACACTTTTTGAAGTTGCAGATCTGTTGGTGAATCATAAAGTGTTAAGTGATGCAAATAAACGAATAAAAAAATAAGGGTAGAACTAAGGTTTTGATCTAAATTTTACTCATTGAATTCAGTGCGGTTTGGCTCAGGTCCTACAAAGAATAATTCATGGCATTAGTGTAAAGAGACTAAAAATGAGATGTGACTCATTAATGAATACATGTATTCATGGAAGGACAATGCTTGCAGAGGAGTAGAGACTTTCTGTCAGAGATTATTGAAAATGTCATTTAATGACATATTGAAAACTGTGATAAACAAGTCCTTGCTATAAGATCAGACAATTAGAACATTTCAGTAGTAGAATCATCTTAAGCTTCTAAAATTTATTCTATTTGATACTCCATATATATCGGATGTGATTCTACTGTTGATTTTGTAAATTCAAATACTGTTTTGGAGTCATGATCACCTTCATAGTTGACTAATTGCCAGTAATACTCAATTGAGCTCTCAAAGAACCAACTTTCTGTTGGGATTACCAAACATCGTAAGTATATGGAAGCATGTTTGCAGACTTTGAACAAAAGATGTGATTTTTATATTCAACAAGTCTGCAGAAAATATGATACATGAGACAGGTGTATTGGGATACTTCTGTGTTTTCTAAGGAAATACATATAGGTCTGTGTAGCAAAGAACTAAAGGCACAAAATGACCAAACCAAAATATGTATTTTTAGGCAAGTAATGACATTTTCCTAATATTTAGTTTCTAGGATGATTCAAACTAGAACTGTTGATTGCAGAACAATAAGAAGTGGTAAAATACTGCTGATGGAACCTATTCCAATTTTATTGTTTATCTTCTATTTTTTAAATTTGGGTTTAACAATGGTGAGATTTAATGGAAATAAAAACAAAAATCCAGATGAACTCAGAATGTTGCTAATTTGTAAAAGAAATTGTTTTCTTATTCCACTAGCTAAGCTACAGGATATTTTTATTGCTTTCAAATTAGTGTGGATAAAGAACAAACCAAGTAATTCATTACTGGACATGTGAGAGCATTTGGGCTAACTTAATGCAATTTCCATACATGAAACAAAGAACAAAGACCTGGGAATTGATTTGCTGAACTGAAGTCAATACTTGGTTTGTTCAATTGCAGCGTTGTTCTCTATTGCCATTTCTCTCTTCCTTGTCCAGGTAACTCTTTAAATGTAACTGTAACTGCTGTTCCATATTCACTTAGTCTCTTCACTCCTGACAGATTTTTTCTTCTTCTATTTCTTCGATGTTTAGCTTTTTTAGTATCTATGTATGTGTTACTAAAGTTGGGTTTCGTCTGTACTTTTCCTAAGACAGATAGTTCCAGTCAGACAAGCTTTGTTATAGGTGTGTGTTGCCTTAGGGTAGCTTGTATTCTGGTCAAAAGTTGAATTTATAGATCACTTTAAGCCCTGCCCAGAGAAAGGGTGTGTTATTTTTTTCTACAGAAGGCTGTCTTGGAGGGAGCATGTGATTTTTTCTCATCAGAAGTAGGATATCTGTCCTACCCTAGCCCACACTGCTCAGATGATTTGGCCATCATCTGAATCTTAGTTCCCAGCATCTCAGAATTTGCCTGTTGACAAGCTGTCATTACAGCAGCTTTTCTTTCTGAACAAGCAGAGTGTTTGTCAGTAGCACATAAGCCTATTTAGCTCAATAGACTTCAGTCATTTTTCTGTTCTTTCCCTCATCACCTCTCAACAGCTTTGTGTCTGTTAAGTCTTATTAAGTTACTACTTTGTTTGGCAACCTCATGCACACAAATTCAGAGGTTTCTGTATTTGTTTCTTACCATTTTTAACTGAGCAACATCTTGGCCATTTGTTCAGTTATGGCTTTCTGTGAAAATGTCATTTCTGATAGCTGTTATCTCCGATGGGAGTGCAGGAGACACCCAGGCCTCGATGGCTCATGCTCCTTACACCATTTTTTTTTCAGGCAGGATTATTTCTTCTTAAAGACCCATTATATGCTTCTCCTAAAGAGCACATCTGAATTTCACTTGAATCAGAAGGCTATCTGCCTGTTTTTCTAGAGCTCTCACATCGGAGGAAAAGGCATATTTGCTACCTGGATGTCGAGAAAGTACTGTTAGTTTACTAGTCCTAAGTCCTTCATGTATTCCCTGAAGTTGCTGTGCTTTCAGTACAATCTACAGCACTCTGCTGTAGGAAAAGCACTTTGGTTGGCTGCATTATAGCTCTTACATTAGAGAAGGCTCCTGAAATCAGAGGAAGAACAAAAAATGGATTAATTGTGTTTCAAGGCTTTTAATTGTGTGTAGGGGAGCCACATAAGAGGAGATCCAGGCTAACCATTACCAAATATGGACCCATCATTTTGCTCTAGAAGAATCTAGTTATGAACTGGGTAAAAGCCATTCAGCACCTCTAGTCTGGAGGCAGGTTTCTGGAATGGGTGCATTTAACAGTGTAGACATACTATATAGCCAGGTGCCAACTGCATCAAATATGAAAATATATGTGCATGATGACTTGGAGGTGGAAAAGAACATTACTTGATAGCAACTGAAGTTCAGTTCTCATCTGCCATTAATTTATCATTAGCTATTGGCTGGAGTGTTTTCCTGTACTGACAGAATTTGAGTTCAGATCTGATCAGTAAGAGGTTGTATGTGCACCTGTGACTCCAAACTGCCACATCATTGCTCCCAGTGTCTGAGCTATTGTACTGAAAGACAGCATCTCTTTCTGGCTCGTTTCTGAGTAGGACTAGCAAATGGAGAAAATTCTGAGTTTGTGACTGCTGCTTGCATTTAGGTATGAGACAGGTGCTGGTGGTATCGATGAGAACTAAACTGTGTGCATCTCCAACAAGATCGACATATCTAAAGGATTTACTGATGATGCTGTTCTGAGTACCTAATGTGTGGATCTAGTTGCCTAGTTGCTTAGCTTAGGCTCCAGAAGTTTGTGAAGCTCACTCTGTATGTTCCTTTAAAATTGCTTTGTTCATTCTGTATGTATATATTCTTGAATTTGCAGCTTGAAAATCTTAAGAAAATAAATGTCTGAATGTAAAAACTTTCTAACGAAACCTGTTTATGTTTGGCTTTCAAAACATTAAGTAAATTGTTTGTTCTAGTAAACTAGATGAAGTAATTGATGTCTTCATTTCTGAATGGCTTTTTGTTGGGAAAGACCACTACCATGCTTTCTTTTTTACTTTTTTCACAGCTGGAAGCCCACCTATGCAATTCTTAGCCAGCATGAAGAATATTTGAAAAATGAACTTGAAGCTTTACAAGAAGCTACAGAAAATGAGAGGTATCTATGATCACGTGAGATGAGGTTTCTATCCATAGTACTTATTAACCAGTCCAAACTGATCAACAAAGATAGTGCAGTCTGCATCAAAAAGTTGTTAGCTTTTCAGGATAATAGAAGTGGCTAAGTAGCTACAGGAATTTTTGGTTTACATTATTATAACGTCATACGATATATTGTAGTTACCAATGGAATAGGATAGAATATGGGTTCTTCAAATTCAATTGCTTCCCAAATGCCTATTATGTTTTTTGAGAACATTGTTTGATTGCCTACAATCTCAAGAAAAGCCCAAGACATAAAGGCAATGAATGTTTCAGCTTTGGCAGAAATATGAAATATCAGAGCATATTTACAAGAGCATACAGAAGTTTTATCTATGAATGATTTTGTTATGTTTTTTTTTTCCAGAAGCATCATTTAACTGAACCTAAAACTTCAAATTCATATACAGACTAAGTAAGATAACAATTAGAAGCATCCAGATAATTTTATGCTTTTCTTTGTGAATATGAATTGCATGTGATTATTAGAATATGCTTGTATATTTGTATGTTGGTGTATATTCTTCAAAATAACCACAAAGCATGCAAATTCAATAGTAGGTTCTAAAAGTAGGTGAGTGGCTCAGGAAAGCCAGGTCTAAAACTGTTTTAAGATCAGTCATGGGTGAGATTCTAGTCGGTATTAATTGCAGATTTAAATCTGTTTGGTAAGTGACATTAGCATTTCAGATGTTTCATCTTCATTAATTAGATTCTGCATTTTAAAGAAATGATTAGTTTTGCAGTGCAGCTACCTACATTCAATGGATTAAAGAACAGTCTCTTCTGCATTGAACACTGCAATGTTCAAAATGTGTTGTGCCAAGTTAACCCGCTGAAGTTCTGTTTAACACTCAGGTAAAAATTCATCTTCCTTTTACAGAGGTTGCTCACCTTCACTGACGTGCTTGTGAAGGGGAAGAGGTTGGTTAGCCCTACAGTGAAAAAATCATGGCAGACCCACCTAGATATCTAAATACCAATTGAGAGGTGTAACTTTAGGTCATTTAAAAAGTTGGCTTTGATTCTTTCAGGAGTATTCTTTTTGTCAGTTGTCCAGGACAGCAGAAATAGCATGGTAGCCTTTAATTAACTCATTTATCTGTCATCTTCCTGTTCAGAGCTCTATATTTGGTGAAAAAGAAGGCTAACTTTGCTTTCTATGAGTATATGAATAAGCCATTTTGGCTTTCACTAGTTTGTGCTGACAAGCCAAAGAAGCATTACTTTTAAATAGCTTCTTTAGACAACTGATTTCAACTCCAACATGAAAGTGTTTGATCTGTTTTCCTGAGTTTAATTATAAGACATCATGACAATAAATCATAAAGGAAATGTAATTCATGTAGTTTACAGAAGTAGTCTCTCAAATTTAATTGCTCTGTACTGAAGCGCTTGATGATATATTCAAATCTACAAGATGTGCGTTCCGGAAATTCTGAATATTATTTAAATCGGGAAGAAAAATAAGTACATTTAGAATGTGATGCACTGAATATGCTTTTTAGCCTGGCATTTGAGGTACTGCAGGCATACTGCTTTAGATGGGAAGATGTTTTAAAAAAATGAGCAGATCAGCTTGCATTTAATTAGACACTTTTTTTTTCAGTATTATTGGTTTCAAGAACACATAAAAATGCTTATGTGAACTGGAAATTCATCCTGAAAATAAGTGATATGAGAAAGGGAAGAGGAATGAATCACTTTCCACATAATGTTCAGGGGTTTTGTGGGTGCTGGCCTTTTCCCATTGTCATTAGATTAAGACTTTTTCTAATGACTTTAATGTGAACAGGGCTGAATTCTAAATAGCCTTTGTTTAACTGTGAGAACTGGAGGATGTGAATTAGCTAGGAAAATATTAAAAATGTTGAGATTTTCTCAAGACATACGATATGATACTACACGATACTATACGATACTGTACTGTACTATACTGTAGTGTACTATATATGGCCATAAATATCAGTATGTGGAAAATACTATAAAGTCTGAGGATTATTTTCAGAAGCTTGAAGCATAACTGCTACAACAAATTATTTTGCTTATTTATATTTTGAAAAAATATTCGTAATGCTTTCTTAATTGTGTATCAGCAAATTTATTTGTTGCTCAGTTATTGTTTGTAGCATCTATTAAATTAAATAGAAATGAATGTTTCCATCTTTCGTAACTGGGAAATTTTGTACACTGTACACAGATACTCAGTAAATCAATAAACTTAGATTCCCAAGACCATCTGTGTAGAAAAACAAACAGATTAAGGTGATTTTCTACATGAAGTTTGGGAAGTGTCAATTCCTTGGTTTCATAGTGTTGATCTACAACTTCTTTCCCCTAAGCAAGTGTATTGAACTCAGTCAGTTTAACAGCAACTAGTGCCTGGAGTGTAGTTTTATTTGAAAATTAAGATCTTACTATTTTTCCAGTGATTTTTGTTTTCCTTTTGTAAGAGTAGAAGCTTCTACAATTGAATCTGGACACAATTTATTTTGTCTTCTGTTGCCGGTGGGCAGCCAGCAGTGTCTACCTTTCCGTCATGCTGCATTTAAATGATTAGTAGCAGTTTGAGGTAAAACGGGTTCTTTAAAGAGGAATACCATATGCTTCACAAGCAGTAAGAGCTGTTCCTTAATGTAGGCTTTATTCATGGTACAGGTAAACAGGTGGGTCTCTGGCTTTAGTTGCTATTGATAATGGAAGTCCTGTAACCTACAGGTGTACTACTAACTTCGTATTTAAAAATTTGCCTCTCTATTGTTCACATAACTTTTTTTCTAGAGGATGGAACTCTGAGAATTTCACCTCTGTGATTTATATTGGTATATTCTAATATCAAGCAACTTTGTGTATAATATTTCTTTCTCAGTTAAATGACTAGTCTGTGTGAATGATGCATGCTGGATGTCTGTATCTGTGGTATCTCCTTATAAACATGTGCCATCTGCATAAATGCTCACCATCAAACTCTTACTGTATATTTTGCATATGCCTATTTTTTTTTTTTTAAGAATAAGGAGCATAGAATACCAATATTCTAAAACTCATCATCTTTTAATTTCATTTTAAGCACTTATTAAGCTTTTGCTTTCAATTGCAAAGATACTGGTTTTTTACTTGAAATTATCTGTAATAGAAGTTACACCTAACAGCATTAGTGGTGTAATAAGAGAGTCATCCCAATGTGATAGCTGAATATTATCTGCCATTAGCAATCTATCCTGTAAATTCCTCACCTGAGTGAGAAAACCTGGGGGGGAAGTCCTTTCCAGTGTAGTCACTGTCATTGATTTAACACAAGAAGGTGGCTGTTCTATGCAACAGCACTTTTCTTTCCAAACATAATATTGATCAGTTTTCACCTTGGCGAGTTACATCCTATTACTTGTATTGCTTTTATAGTACAATTATTTCAAAAGCCCATTTAAAGTTTTAAAGAATGTCATGAACATAAATTGGTGCTACCTACTTCTATAATTTGTAGCTATATACTCACATGATGTCAGTGAAATTAGTGTAACAGTAATTTAGAGGGCAGTCCTACACGAACCTGAGCATTCTGGCTCTTTGCCAATTAAACATTTAAGTGTTTGCTTAACCTTAAGTATGAATTGTCCTATTTTAGTGTGACTTATGTGTGTGTTTTAGGCTTCCGTATGTCACACACAGATTACTCAACATCTCCTTGGGGGCAGCTCTTAGTCCAGTGATGCTTCAGGCTGCTCTAAATACAGATGCTAGGACAAATTCTTTTACTGTAAGTTTGATGTAGCTTCACCAAAACCAGTGGAGTTTTGCCCATATACACAGAGAACTTGGCTTGCAGTGAGTTTCATGATACTTACAGAGAGAAAAAACATTTTCATCTGCCAGGCTGCCTTTGAATATGGTGTGGTCTACATTCTTTTCAGAACAGTGAGGTTTGGCTGTTTTTTACATCATGAGTGTATATTTTGTTACATACAGCACAGTCTTCCTTGGAAAAAAGCTGGGAGAGAAAAAATAAAGCCAAATAGTGGTATATTAAACATAATCCAACTTTTCTTTCAGGACAGGAGCAAGCTGAGTTGAGCTGATGCCATAAATATTTTTTCTTTTTTGTTTCCTTACAAAGGATGTCTTCATATGACAAAGAAAATAATGAAATGACATGTATTTTATAGGAAAATGTATGAGGATTACATAACCCAGTATAAAGAGATTTTAAAACAACGGTGTGAGAAATATGCAGAAACTGCTCTTGCACAGAAGTATTACCAAAAAAAGAAAGAACTTGAAGAAATCCAAAACAGGGTTTTGAAACGGTCTGCGAAATATAAATTAAAAGAAGACACTTGCTTGGATATTCTGGGTACTACTATTATCAATGGTTTTATGGTAGAGCCTATTGGTAGTGCACTGCGTATTAAAAGTGCTGTACAGAAATCCTCTGACTAATTTTCCATAGTTAATAAGAAGACTTCCCTTTTGTTACACCATTTTTAGGAAAAAAAAATCTGTAGCAAACGGAAACTTTGAACAAGAATTTAGATTATACATACTAATATTCCTTCCTCCAACCCATGAATGTAATGGGGAGAGGTTTGCCATTGAGCTTCTTGGGGTAAACAAGTCCTAAAATTACTTTAGAACTAGCCTTTCAAAATTTTAAATTTATTTTTATGGTTTTATTTTTTTAGTGCTGTTTTTAATGGCATTACTCTCTGTATACTGCTATTTCTGTTATGTATATTAAGTGCTCCTGATCTATTAATTTTTTGTAGCTGTAAAGAAAATTAGGTCGGTATATTAATGATCTGAAATGAAATTTTATTTCTGCAGAGCCTGTTCCTTTTAAATCCATAAATGATTGGGCTTTACAGATGTATCCTTGATTTATAGTGTTTGTGCAATTTGCAGGGAAGAAAGTTTATATTTACATTTCACAGTCTCTTATTAAGAAGTAAAGTATTAATATATTTAGGTTTCGAGTGGCAGCATTAGCATTTCTCTGTGAGAAAATGGAAGGTGAAATAAGACTCTTCAGTATAAGTTTATGGGATCATTTTGAGGAAAGAAAATAAGATTTCATTTAATGACATATCTGTCAAAATGCTTCATTAAGGAGGAGAAGCCTAATTAACATTAGATCTGTAGATTTGTCAGAGCTTTCTGTACCTCCAGCATTCATGCTTATGGAATAGAGGGGTCAGGGATCTGATAGTATTGCTTGCTTGAAAAAAGTAATGTGGCAGTTTATATTCCGTAACATGGAAGTGCTTCTTCGAGGCGAAAGACACAGGAAATGTTAAAGCTTGCTGCAGTTGCTACACAAGAATCCATTGAACTACAAAAAGAAGCTGAGGAATTAGAAAGGAAGATCAGTTATTTAAAAAAGGTAACTGCATTTTAATTTGTTTTATATAAATATGTGTTATGCATGTAGTTATATATATCACAATTATATTTTCTGAAACATAAAAAAAGTAGTATGTTTTCAAGCACACATACCAACAGGATGATTCCAGTCTTAGTCCTTATGTTTCTATAGTGTCACACATGTTTTCTTAAACAAGACCAATCAATGAAAGTACAGGCTCTTCAAGCTTGTTTTCTGTTGACCTCAGATTACACCAGAATTTCTGTCAAGGCACTGTGTCATGGTGACTTTCGTGCTAGCTGGAGGGCCAGAGAATACACTTCAAAATACATTAGTGCCAATCCTTAGTGAGCCCTAGCACTCAAGCTTTCACAGGTCCTACTGGTTTTTAAGGTGTTGTTAATATGTATGTGTTTAACTAAATACGCTTTACAGTAAGGAATGTATAAATTTCTTCTCCCTTTTCCCCCAAGTAAATCTGTGGGTAAAAAATACCCCACGGTAAAACTGGCTGATTTTAGACAGGAGATCAATACAGTTCCACCAACTAGAAGCACGGATTCCAAAGGGATGGTGTTCCAAAAAAAGGACTTTGTCAGGACAGCATTTTGACCCACTCCTCTGCTAGGAGGTGAAAGGTCTCTCCTAAGCCTGAGTAGCCAGTAGGCCAATCTTTTAAAGAGTTTGGTAAGTTTTACACTATTGTATGTGGACCTTTTCACCACCCTGGACCAGATGATCAAGGACTCTGTTTCCTGCTGTGTCAGCTGTGTTCATTTGAGCCAGCCTTGTGGTAATAGAAGCCTATCGTGCACAGGAGTTGTTTTCTATTTATATTTTGTGGTATTTTTGACCCTCATAGTTACAGACTAAAGTTCCTAATGTGGTATGTGCTTTATAAGCATACAGTAAGAAGGGATGTGGTTAATTTGTTTGTAACTAAGAAGGAGACCATGTATGGAGCTCGTTGCTCTGAATAGATATGTAGAGACTGTGCTCAAAAACTCCAGTGTTTATTCCAGTTGTTCCAACAAAAAATATTGCTTCTCTTTAACCTTGATCTGCTAATTTCCTCAGATTATCTTGTCTTGGTTACAAAATCTACTGCTGTGCACAGATTCATCCAGTTTAGAAAACATTTGCAGCATGTAGCTGTAACTTTTCAAGATTTTTTATTTTTATTTTTATGTTATTTGTTCTTTATCTTTTAAGACATTTGTAAAGGCTACAGAAGATCAAAATAATTCCAAAATGATTGAAGGAAAAAATCAGAAAAATCTAGAGAAGCCAGAGAAGCTTAAAGAAAGGTACATTTACAAATTATTTTCTTCTCTTGATTTCATGCAGAGTACTATCTCAGCATTTGTACGAAGACTGCCACAAAACACAAACTATTGCTAAATAATGACTGGCAAGCTTCTCTAACCCTGACCATGATTTTATTATGTAATTTTACAAGTTTTCTACATTTTGGAGTTAGTATGGTGGTGAATTTGAAGTCTTGGAAGCTAAATGCATCTGGAAATATTCAAAAGAATTTTGTAGAAACCTTCACTCCTCAAAGCTACTGCTGATAGATCTATGTGAATAGTTTTACAGGTTTTGAATACAACTCCAGTGACTGTGCAATCAGAGATAAAACACATTAATAAATGCATATTTGGGGAAAAAAGTCAGGCTTCCACATATCATAGAATCATAGAATAGTCAGGGTTGGAAAGGACCTTAAGATCACCTAGTTCCAACCCCTCTACCATGGGCAGGGACACCTCGAACTAAACCATGTAGCCCAAGGCTCTGTCCAACCTGGCCTTGAACGCTGCCAGGGATGGAGCATTCACAACTTCCTTGGGCAACCCATTCCCTTGATGAAGTTTGAAGCCATTACCCCTTGTCCTACCACTACAGTCCCTGATGAAGAGTCCCTCCCCAGCATCCTTATAGGCCCCCTTCAGATACTGGAAGGCTGTTATGAGGTCTCCACACACTCTTCTCTTCCTCAGGCTGAACAGCCCCAACTTTCTCAGCCTGTCTTCATACGGGAGGTGCTCCAGCCCCCTTATCATCCTCGTGGCCCTCCTCTGGACTTGCTCCAACAGCTCCATGTCCTTTTTATGTTGAGGACACCAGAACTGGACACGATACTCCAAGTGAGGTCTCACGAGAGCAGAGTAGAGGGGCAGGATCACCTCCTTCGACCTGCTGGTCATGCTTCTTTGGATGCAGCCCAGGGTACGGTTGGCTTTCTGGGCTGCAAGCGCACACTGACGGCTCATGCCAAGCTTCTCATCAACCAACACCCCCAAGTCCTTCTCTGCAGGGCTGCTCCGAATCTCTTCTCTGCCCATTTGTCTTCAGTTCTGAACTACTTAAGAAATGTAATTCTTAATTTAGTTCTTATAAGAACTAAAAGAACTTGGTTTTTGTCCAAAAAACAATCATGAGTGAAAGTTTCATAGACAGGATTAGTGGTGTAGTAAATTACTCAGTAGTCATTTACAGCTGGGACTCACTTTAATTTGAGCTCCATTACAATGACTGAAAATCACCATCAGAACTATCTTGCACTTATCGGTAGTCCTTGTGAATGTTGAAACATCACAGTTAGAGATGATGCTTTTAGACCAAAATCCTTTTTAAACTGAAAAGACTTTGTCCAAGTGATTTTACATTTTGGTGTGCTTGAAAAAGAAGTTTTTTAGGGCTTTAAAGATATTTAGTGGTGTATATCCAAAGGAATGTGTAATTTTAATAATTCCTAATATCCTTCCCACAGTGGCATTTTAGGTCTAATATCTGAGTATAGACCTATGAGTTATTAAGCCTTTTTTTTTTTGTGTTTTAAATCTTTACACTTGTTCTATCTTCTTGCATATGGTTTTTGTAATGGCCAAGACCTCAGAAATATAGGGAAGCAAGAAATCCACTTAGTTTTAAGACTAGGTAAAAAAGAGTTGGGAAGCACTCTGAATTTTCAAAGAAACTCACTTATGTTGAGTCTGCAGAAAGCGAAATACCAATTAAAGACCTATTATAAAAGGCAGAAAGCTATGCTCTGCACATAGAGGCATAAGAAACACTCAGCCAAGCCTCCTCATGTGAAGGAATTTGTAGGGTTCCTCATTCAAAGGAATTCAGGCATTGCTAGACCTACCACTGTACGTTTAACTCTGTCATGGAACCTTCTTGTGCTTGTACCTTCATCTGAAGTTGTGTCTTGATTGCATACAAGTAGATCTTTCTGGTGCTCTTACTGAAGCAATAATTCCACGGATTGAATTATGGTTATAAGATGTTGTAAACATTTTATACTACCTTAACTCACATTGCCTTTTAACATCCACATTTGCATTTATGTGATACAGCATACAGTATTAGACCATAACATGATTATTAATTAATATGTTTTTTCCTAGAGTAAATTTTAGAGCTTATTTATGTTAAAGATATCCACAACATCAAAGCTTGTAGAAAATTACACTAATATTGCTATAAAAATCGCTATTTGGCATTAGTGTATTCTAAAAAAAAGTCTTCACTAGAAAGAACAGAAGTGTCTGATTAAGTAGCTACTGGTGTTAAAAATAGGTGTACTATGAATATGTGATTATAAACACTGTGGAAAAAACCCACAAACAGAAAATATGCTAAGATAATGAGTCATATAAATTAAAACATTTGCAGACTCAAGGCAATGTACAAAATTATAACAGGAGAATGCAGGTGCCAAAGGCACTACTTTCTTGTGGGCTGTTGTGCAGTCACTATAAGGTTACTACTGAGCTTTCTGAAGGAAAAAGAGATATCTTCATCTTCTGCCACAAAAGAAGAAGAAAAAAAGAGTTGTACTGTGAATCTGCGTGAACTGATGCAGACCAGCGTGAAGAGAAACCAGCAGTATCAAGGCAAAGAACAAAGCAGAGCAATGAAAGCACTGAGCAGAACAATGTACAATTGAATACCCATGAAATGCTTTAGAGGGCTGCAAGACAAGAAACCAACTTGCAAGTTAATTAATAACTGCTGGTGTAGATGTTCTCCTTTGGGCGTGAGGATGGTAGTGATAACCGATCTTTTAAAAGGCTTGGAACATTTTAGTTTGAATCATTGCTATCCAGGTAGTCATTGATTAGGCTGACTGCAAAATGCAGGTTCTTCTTCTCATACCAGTTGTTTCCTCTGATTAACGGGCTTTCATAATTCACCAGTTAAGTATCATTATTACAATCTCCAAATCGAGAGTTCTCATTAATCAACACATAGGAGTCAACTTTTTTGAAGCCCTGGTCTTGATTTCTCAATTAGAGATCGTATTTATTACATAGAAAGGTTGACATCTTGAACTGTGCTTTGGTATATATCACAATCATTCTCTCTGCTTTTCGAGAGACCTTTAATGCCATTATTCCATAATTCTGCTGGATTTTTTTCTCCCCCTCCCTCCCCATATGATTATGTATTAATTCCACTCTGAATAACTAAAATAAGAATCTCAAGTAAGAGATTTTTGCTAAAACTTGTAAGGATATTCCATGTCAGATTATTGCACTTCCTTCAGGATCTTTGCATTACAAGTGATTAGCTTTTACTGATCAAAGAAAAAACTGTGTAATATAATCTTGGAAAAATACTTACAAAGATCTTTCTGGACCTCTATGTGTAAACATATGTGAAGAATGAACCCTGTGCTGACCACAGCCTCATAGGCAGTTATTAGTTACTTCTTATTATGGCAGCTAGTTATTAAAAATCCTGCTTCCCAAAGGACTTGCTGGCATGCACCTGATGAGAATATTGAACATGGCTTCAGTAGGGAGTCCTGGTAAATACCACAAGAACAACTGTGATTCTTCAGATGCATAATCAAATACACTTGATTCCTATAGTGAATATGAAGATGTAAATCTTTGGCCTTTGTTATGCTATGAAGAAGAAATTACTGCTAAGGAAATGGGATTTTATTTTGGTTTAGGAATATATATTCTTTTTCTTTGCACTCTAATAAAAAAAGATGTTATCTATTTTGCAGTATGTTTCAAGATAAAGATTTCTTATTGTCGTGGTTTAAGCCCAGCCGGCAACTTGGAACCACGCAGTCGCTTGCTCACTCCCCCCCCTTTTCCTTCCTCCCCCCGCTCCCGGAGGGATGGGGAGGAGAATCGAAGGAATGTAACTCCCACGAGTTGAGATAACAGCTCTCCAGTAACTAAGGTATAATACAAACCACTACTGCTACCAATAATAATGATAAGAGGAACAACAAGGGAAAAGGACACAACCGCTCCCCACCCGCCGACCGATACCCAGCCCGACCCGCGCAGCGATCTGGGCCTTCCGGGTAACTCCCCCCAGTTTATATACTGGGCATGACGTGCTGTGGTATGGAATACCCCTTTGGCCAGTTTGGGTCAGGTGTCCTGTCTCTGCTTCCTCCTGGCTTCCCCTCCTCTCTGGCAAAGCATGAGACTGAGAAAGTCCTTGGTCAGAGTAAACATTACTGAGCAACAACTAAAAACATCGGTGTTATCAGCATTGTTCCCAGACTGAAAGTCAAAAACACGGCACTGCACCAGCTACTAAGAAGGAGAAAAAATGACTGCTGTAGCTGAACCCAGGACACTTATCTACTCAGATGTCTACTAACAATGAAGTAACAAAAGAAGACAAATTATCTGTCTTGTTACTGCAGTTTGGCCTATTTTGAGCTTCAGTATCCAGTTTGATTTTTCTTTCAATGTCAGAGAAGATGCATATGGGGTTTTTTGATAGTGTTTTTTTGGGGGAAAGGGAGCAGGTGTATTGGGTATGCATAAAGTTTAACTGCAGGCTTCTTCAGAAGGTTTTGTTACTTAAAAAAATACAGTCTTAAAAGTTTCTAAGTTGTGTTTGTGACTCTGCCATTTATATATTCTTCTGAATAGATATGCATTGCAAAAGAAAGCTTTGTTTCAGGGAGACTTGTCTGCTAGATTCTACAGAAGCACATGGAAACTGACTCTGGGCACTTTTATAAATACTATTTGGCATCCTGAGTTCTGTAAAAAAAATGGTTTATGGCAATCTAACTCATGGCCTCAGCAGCAGCAGTCTTGTTCAATTCATTATTGAATGAAGATTGTGGAAAAGTGGCCAAACAAGCTGTTTTGAAAACAATGAAGCAGTTTAAGTGGGGTTCTGTGTTTATCTCAGTTTTCATTTCTCTCTGGTTTTGTCCTCTCTGCATCTGAATTTAAAGATACACCAGCCATATATACATCTTATTTCCTCTAGTACTCATTGTTGACACAGGTAATATTTGTAATTACTGTAACTGAAGGAAATACAGACTTTTTTAAAAAAAGCTTTCATTATTTCTGTTTAGTTTTACTTGTATTGATGTATTAGTGGTGTATGGTTTATATAGTTCGTTAGGTCTCAGACCGGCACAGCAGTAGGTGCATATGTAACTTTACAGGTGAAGATATGCTTTTTCATCAGAGTTATTTGACAGAGGTGTATTCATGGTTTTGTATGATCAGTTGTGCATGTGTATTAGTTGAATATGTTGTTAGGTCCTTATATATTAACCAGTGTTTCTAGGTTGGTATTTTTATAGTACTGTTGCTAATTTGACTCCACGCTACCTTATAAAGTGCATCCTACATTTTGTCTTATTTTTATTTGTGGAAAATCTCAGTCAGAACAAAAAGACTTTACTCAATTCTTCATTTGTTCTGAATAGCATTGTTTAGTCAGCTATAAACCAGATGTTGTAGCTAGAAGCACAGAGGCACACAGC